CTATCCCTCCCACTCTTCCCCTTTGTCATTGTACCATCCTGACCCGTTGACTGTCCCTTCCCTCCCATGACGCTGTGCCATGCGCCCCCTCCTCTTCCTCCAACTCCACCTGCGCTATCGCTCTGCACCTCTTCAAATTATTTCCTCCCCTCGTCCTACTGTGGCTTCTGCTGCCCTTCTCTCCCCTCCTTTCCCGAATTCTCATGCGCCCCTCTTCATTCTCTGTCTCTCACCAATCCATTTGTGCGTGTGTGCGTCTCTCTCTCTCTCTCTCTCTCTCTCTCTCTCTCTCTCTCTCCCCACCTTTACCTGACCTCTTCCCTTGCTCCGTACCCCACCCAACCTCTTCCCTCCCTCCTCCTTCCATCTGCCCTCCCTCCACCCGACTTCACCCTGCCATCTTTCCCCTTCCTCCCGGCCTCCATCCACTTCCTCCTCTTCCTCTTCATGCTTTTTCCCATGCTCGTCTCCCCCTTACCTCTTCCCTTCCTCCATACGTCACTCAACCCCTGAACTACGTTCTGCTTTCTGTCCTCCCTTCGCTCTACTTCTCCCTGCCGCCTCCCTTTTCTCCTGGCCTCCTCTGGACCTTCTCTTAAACCTCCCTCTACCCTTCCTTGCCTGGCCACTTGACTCCCTTTCCTTCGCCCAATCTCCGCCTGACCTCCTTCCCTCTATCTCCTCCGTCCTACTCCTTCCTCCGCCCGATTTGCACTGACCTCCTCCTTCCCCCAATCTCCTTCCTCCCCTTCCTTCCTTGGCCCAATCTCCACCTGACCTCCTGCTTCCGCCCTCCTCTCTACCGCCTTTCCCCTCCCTACAGGCCTCCTCCTCACATTCTCTTCAACCTCCCTCTGGCCTCCGTCCGCCTATTCCACTTCGCTCGCCCCCTTCGTTCGCCTGATCTCTGTCTGACCTCCTTCCCTCGATCTCCTCCCTCCCCTTCCTTCCTCAGCCCGATCACCACCTGACCTCCTACTTCCATTCCTCCCTCCATCCTACTCCCTACCTCCCCCTTCCTCCCTTGACCGGCCGCCCTTCCTTCGTAACGCCCGATGTAAGAAATACTTCATTTGCTTTATTCAGTGGACGTAAACGCGCCATTTGTTATCAAGATTGCTCCATTTCTTTTAAGATCTCAACACTGTTGCACACGCGCAAGAAGGAGAGAGGGAAAGCAGGAGAGAGAAAAACGCATTTCACCCAACACACTTCCTTCCTCGCACCTTCTTTGTCCTTGTCTGTCTCTCTTCCACCACCACGTCTTCTGCCTCCTCAAGATCCTCCTCCTCAACATTCTCCCTCGGTCTTTTCTTTTTGGAGTTCCCTTATCATTAACTGCGCTGCGCCAGGTATTTCAGGCTATCGATATTTCTTTCCATATTTCACTCTCCTCCTCCCCAATCCCTACACACACCACACTGAGTCAGCTCTCTCTCTCTCTCTCTCTCTTCCCCCCCCACATCCACACCCCTTGCTGTGTGCGTCTGTGCGCGACCGCACGCGCGAGAGCACACGCTCGCCCTTATTCACATTGAAAGAAAAACAATGTGGCGCTAAGCCTTAACGCAATTTGAGAAAGCTAAGAAAAACGGAATGCACTCTCTATATCGTCCCCAGATAAGGGAGCAGGAAGCGAGGGAGGACGGAGGGCCGAGGTAGGTAACGCCACCGGAGGGAGGAGGGAGAAGGCGAGGGAGGAAAGAAGGAAGGAGAAAGGGAGGAAGGAGGGAGGGCTGATGGGCCAGGGGTGAGGGAGGGAGGAGTGAGGGTCAAGGCAGGAATGGAGAACGGGCCGAGGGAGGGAGGAGAGAGGGTCGAGGCAGGAATGGAGGACCGGTCGAGGGAGGAGGGATGGTGATGGTGCCTCTGGTGCCTCTCTCTCTCTCTCTCTCTCTCTCTCTCTCTCTCTCTCTGGAGGGAGGAGAGACGACGGCACAGAGAGAGAGAGAGAGAGAGAGAGAGAGAG